ATCATCTGATTGCTTACTTGTTAGCCAAACTATCACTACAAATATTTCTGATGGACTACGTTCTACTATAATGGTGGCCAGTGGTGTTTCTTTTATGGTAATTTCAATTTTTTTTCAAATTAAATTTCTATAAATCTTTAATGTTACAAATAATATTTTATGTATAATATGTATTTAGTTTTTTGTATCTCCAAAATTAGCTTTGGTTGGCTTATCCATAGTGCCTCCAATTGCTGCATTGGCTGTGATATATGGACGTTTTGTACGAAAAATTACGAGATCTGTACAGGTAAATAATAAAACAAATATTAATACATGAATATTTTTTTTCATTTTTTTTATTATTAAGACTGAAATTTTAGAAGCTGACCATAAAATGATATTTTTTTCTTGTTACATTCTTCTGGTTTATAGCTTTAAATTTGTGTCACAAATAAAATAAAAAATGTATAAATATATTTTTATACTGTTGTATGTTACTGGAAAATGTATCTCATAGTTTTTTGTGCATTTCATTTTAATAGCATTAAATGTTGATAGTTTCTCATCTAAAAACAAGTACATTTTTAATGGCACTATGTGGTACCGTACATTCAATTTTCTTAAGGGAGGGGGAGGATTGAATTATATACATACTCGTATGTTTATTAGAGTATAGATGAGGTAATGATGTATCCAGGAGATCTTTTGAAATAAAAGAATGAATTTTGGGTTGCTGGAGTAGTGTAAACCAAATGCATTAAAATTTTAAGACAAGATTTTATTAGTATTTTGACAAATACTACATGTTATACACACGTTACAGTTTTCATGATGTGTACATTTTTCATTCTAGCTATTTCAAAATGGGATTTTTTTTCGTTCTTTGGCTAATTTATCTTAAATACCTCTATAATTTGTGTGCCACTGACACTATGTATACTATCATACAAACTAAATCCTAGTAATATTTTGTAAGAAGAAAATAATAAAATATTTAAAATTCAGGATTCATTAGCTGCTTCAAACCAAGTTGCTGAAGAGAAAATATCAAATATCAGAACTGTAAAAGCATTCAGCCAAGAAAAAAAAGAAATGTTTTTGTACGGGAAACAAATGAATGAAGTATTGCAGCTTTCTATTAAAGAATCATTCATGAGAGGATTGTTTTTTGCTATGGTAACTTCAAATCAATATCTTAATAATTATCATGGTGTAAAGCCTATTAACTTACATTATAGTACCATACTAAATCTTGGTTGGATTAATTGTTTGTTAGACAGGATTTTCCGGAAACTTCATAATTATATCAGTGTTATACAGCGGTGGATTGTTGGTCAGTGAACAAGCTATTAGTGTTGGAGATTTGAGCTCCTTTTTATTATATGCTGCTTATACCGGGGTGTCTATTGGTGGTATATCAACATTCTATTCTGACATTAATAGAGGCCTAGGCGCATCATCAAGAATATGGGAAATTATTGATCGCAAACCATCCATACCTATTTCTGGTAATCTTTTAACTTAGAAGTGTTATTAACTTAAATATTTTAAACTTATAACCTATGTATATTTTATGTTTGTATACAATTATACATAAAAATATTATTTTTACAGGTGGGCTAAAACCATTGACTGATCCTAAAGGAGAAATAAGCTTCCAGAATATTGTGTTTAACTATCCAAATCGACCAGACGCACCTATTCTTAATGGATTAAACTTAGAAATACCTAGTGGTATGATTTATGCATTAGTTGGCCATAGTGGTAGTGGAAAAAGTACACTAGGTCATTTATTATTAAGACTTTACGATCCTCAAAGTGGTCAAGTATGTTTGGATAAAACAGATTTAAAAATGTATGATCCAATTTGGTTACATGGTCATATTGGAGTTGTTAGTCAAGTAAGCTACAATTATAATTACTCTGAAAATCTTAAAACTACTACTAATACCTATATTTTATATTTCATAATTATTAGTTGTTGTTATTTATAGGAGCCAATTTTATTTTCTGGGACTGTTAAAGAAAATATTGCTTATGGGCGTGAATGTGTAACAGATAATGAAATTATAGATGCTGCTAAAGAAGCAAACGCATATGATTTTATTGTAAAAAAATTTCCAGATGGATTTGATACAATTGTTGGAGAACGTGGTGTTCTTTTATCAGGTGGCCAAAAACAAAGGATAGCTATTGCTAGAGCATTACTAAAAAATCCTAAAATATTATTATTAGACGAAGCTACAAGGTAATTATTATTGTCATGACTTATATGCAATTTTTGATTATTTTGTTTTTTTAATTGATAAAATTAATTCAGTGCATTAGATGCGGAGAGTGAAAAGTTAATTCAAGAAGCGTTGCAGAGAGTTTCAAAAGGAAGAACTGTATTAACAATTGCTCACAGGTTATCTACTATTAAAAACGCAGGTAACTTACTGAATATTTTATTGTAATTTTAATGTTTAAACATAATGTTAAGTTATTTATCAGGTTATAAGTGCATTTAATATTTAATTTTCGTAAAAATTTTATTTTAGATAAATTGGCTGTAATATTCAATGGAAAGATTGCTGAATTAGGTTCATATGATGATCTTATGTCTGTAGAAAATGGTTTATTTAGAAAACTCAACAAAAATCAAATATTGACAAGTTAATACTGATATAAAACAAATGTAAACAAATAAAAGGTATTAAGGTATTATAAATGTTCCAAATATTATTGTTATTATTGTTATATTATATTATATATTTTTACGAAAAAAAAATTATAATTTTAATTATACATTTTTATTTATTATATTCGTTATTTTTTAATATGATAGAATATAGATTAGGTATTATGAGCTGAATATTTTTTTGTTAGTATACAATTTTAAAAATTACTTCCAACAATTAATTTATTATGTTATTCATAAGTAGGATTTTTTTTAAATTTAGTTTATTCTTGAAATTAAAAAAACAGTTATGATTTTTTAAAATTTTAACTGTGGATATGATGGGAAAATAATACATTAATACCCATGTTTTGTAAGTAATAACTAATGAATGACATTTTTAATAAACTTTTTTTTAGCAATTTGGAAATTGTTAATATATAAAATACATTAATTATTAAATATTGATTTTTTGAAACGAAAAATATTAATAACTTTAAGAACTAGGAACATTCTTTTTCTATGTATAATTTTTTTCCCCCTGACAATAATTCACTAGTTGTTTTGTGGCGAGTTGAACATTTTACTTTTTAGTATCTATAGTGCTATAGTGTGTGGTACATTGTACATTGTACATTGTACACTGCACTGATCTTCAGGGTTATTAGCTGTATTCATACTACTATAACATTCAGCTGAATTATACTTGTTATTTTATAACTTATAGGTATATCTGTGGAAGTGTGGAATAATAATTTAAAACTTGATGGGTAGAATAATTCATAATAAGTTACCATAGTGGCTTATCAACATCGTATTATTAGGATTTAGGACGGGCGGAACTACGGAAGTGGAACACAGGATATATATGCTATAAAAAAAAAACCATAGCACGCTAGACAGCCTTCACAGGGAAAATCTAAGAATTATAGATAGGTATGTTTTTGTTAACAAGTAACAATGTGACCATGACAACCCAGGCCTGATTTAGGCATTTTGTGGCCATAAGCAAAATAAAAAATATGGACACCCTTGTCAGCAGTAGTGTATATAGCTCTAAGCCCTCCTTCCACATATGAGTTGTATACAACAAATTAATAATTACAATTTACTTATACATTTTCACAAACAAAATTACAATGTTATACATAACATTTTTTATCTCTACTGGTTACAGATTTGTCATAATTTAAGATAGAAAAATATATTAGATGTTGTTAATAAAGCTTTAAAAAATATGACAGATATTCATTGTAATTGATGAGTTTAAAATCATTTTTTTATTTTGAGTTATTTTAAATTGTATTATTATTATATTAAGAGAACAAAAGAAAATATTTTGTACTTGAAAATTTTTTTAAAAAATAATTTAAGACATATTTTTGAAAAGAATTAGTGTTTTTTTGTGATTAGCTACTAACTATATTTTTAATATTTAAACCACAAACTGCTATATACATTTAGGCTCTTTACAACCTTCAAACGGGCCAACTTGGGGCAAAAATATTATTTAATAGTTCTACTAGTAGCGTAGCAAGGATTTTTTTCGGGGGGGGGGCTGATCAATTTTTTACACAGCGGTGGTTTAGTTTTTGATCGAATACCATAGACCATTAAAATAATTTTTAAATTGNAGACAATCGCGGCGGGTCCTCCGAAGCTGCGCAAAACTTTTTAGAATAGAGTATAGCCATTCCGCTTGGAGTTTCTTGTGTCAAATATAGAGGGACCGTGAGACTAGCTGAGGTCATAAATATTTAGGTTTTGAGAGTATGGCATTATGCGAGTAGTTATGTATTAAGCGAGTGTATAATTTCTAAAAAAAACCCAACAATTTCAAAGTTATACCAATTGCATCGTTTTTACTTCATCGCTTGCTCGGTGGTTTTTGGTGCGTTAAAAATTAGTAATCCGTGTCAGTGGCGTAGCCAGGATTTTTTCAGGGGGGGGGGGGCTGACCAATTTTTTACACAGCGGTGGTTTAGTTTTTGATCGAATACCATAGACCATTAAAATAATTTTTAAATTGTATTAACATTTCGGAGGGGGGGCTGCAGCCCCCTCAGCCTCCCCCCTGGCTACGCCACTGAGTTCTACCTACATATAACGGTATTTTATCAATTAATTAATAATAATGTAAAAAAAATTGTGTGTGATATTTAAAATATCGACAGTTTCGTGTGAACTAGAATAAATTTTTAAAATATTTCTAAATGTGAAAACACTTTTAAAGAGTATAATATTTCTTACATTTCCAATCATTTGAAAAAAAACCCAAAAGTTAAATTCGTATACAGAAAACAATATTATATTATATTATATTGTTAATTGTAATTACATAATATATATAATGCAAACATAAAAAGTTCATAGTTTATTGTGCGTTACATATTATATGTTATATTCTAAGATACGCTTCAGAAGTTTTGTTTTAAAAAATGAATATATTATAAACGTACTTGAAATATATAAAAATGGATAATAGAACATACACACTTTGAGCTCACAATATATAGGCAGTGTACGCGTTTACATTTTCAAATATCTAAAACTATTACACATAATATTATACATAGACGGTCATTTAAATGCAATATATCTGATCACACAGATCTTAAAACTAGCTTAAATCGTAAGGAGTTAAAAGTTAAGCACAAAGTATCGATTTTACATACTTTTAGGCAATACAAACGGTACACAACATCTAATAATTGTATAGTAATATTAAAAATAGCAAAATGTTTTTTCTTCTTTAATAATAGGTAATACAGTAAAAACATTTATTTGTAGTTATAATAAAGATTCTGATAGGTTTATCGGTGTTTTCGAGGTAATGCTATGCTATACTCATGAGTATGGCGTTTTAAATTGTACAAATTATCATATAATCGTTTTGATTCTCATCATCATATTATTATTATTATTATTATTACACAGTGGCAACAACATAAAACATATTATTGTAACATAAAAAATAATAAAATTGGCGTGTGTGTACAATTTAAAGAGAGATTAATAAAGACATCACGACTAATTTCGAAACTTATTTTATACAAATAAAAAAAAAATAAGTAAAAACATTCACATAAATAAAACCAGACTAGTATAAGACATTTATCAAGTGTGTCTGTCGCGAACTAAAAGGCGGCCATGACTATACTTGACGAATTAAATAAAATTTTAAAAATAATAGTTATTTATTATAATAATAAAGAATGTATAAACACTAGTCTATAACTATGACGAAGGATCTCCTCCACACACTGGCGGCTGTAGTAAGAAAAAATATGGAATAACAGTCCCAAGATTGTGTTTGGTTCACGAAGAGAGTTTTTCGATCACAGTTCTCATCTCGATTGATTTATGGCAAGTTCAATTAGCCTGAAAAAAAAACAAACAATTTATACATTTTGTCTAACACGATGATTAGTGATATTCTTGTCCTCGCTAACGGCAAATGTTAAGTCAATATTGTTAACATTTTACAAAACGATATCGAGAAATAAATTTAAAAATTAGAATAATAGCACATTTGCGGAGAACCTCCACTGAAATATTATGTTTTACACTATATTCAAGTGAATACATAAATTTCAATACATTCTACGAATAGCATTTTAATTATTATCAATTCATAAATTATATAAGGATGTATAAAAATTATCAGATGATTAAAAATACGATCGATTATTTAATCTATGTGACTATGTGTACAAATAATATTTCAAAATAATTATCAACAAACTACGATTTTGTCGTGTTTTCTTGTTTGTTTTTTATTAATCGTAGTTTTGTCTTGTCAAAAAAAATATCGATTAAACAATTCAATATTTTACAATTAAAATTCACTTCGGTGAATTCGAAATCGTGAATCGATAAATAATAATTATTATAGTCTATAACGGAATTCTGCGGAATCGCAAAGAAGCCTAAATAACTAATAACTAATTAGCCTTATAGTTGTCGCTATTGTAATACTTCGATTAGAAAAATCTTAAGGGAAATGACAATAAATAAAATTAAAATAATCACTTCAATGGTAGCTTCATAACCGCCTTTGGACTGCATCTGTCCGTGAATGGCATGCAATCTGGACGATCCCATTTCGACATCGGACGAACCTATGTGACCGGTATGTCGAAAATTTGTGGGTGCTCCAATCATAGATCGGTCAATGCGTACTCGACTCACGTGACGTTTGCCCTATTGACACACACAAAACTCGAATTAAAACAAAGAAATAAAGTGGTATACGTAACCGTGTTTAATGTGTCAATTACTAATGATATGTTTAAGAAGATATAGGGTAGGTTAGTAAAACTATTTTTTTTATAAGTTTTGGTATTAGGTAATTAAAAAAATGTAGTATATATAATGCTACATAATATATATACCACATACTTGCTCGTTTTGTACATCAGCCAACACGCGGGTGAGAGGCGCATTATACATTAAATTATATTTATCAATAATAATTATTGAATCGACTGAACGATAGAAATAAAATAAAATGAAAGTTTGGTAACTTATTATATTCTAAATAATAAATATGCATAAGCCTTTAAGCTAACAGTTTTTTAATTAGATATAAATATAAAATTACAATATGTATTAATGTATTATAACTTAAAATAGTTATAACATTTAAGCAACTTGCTTACCTACTGCTTAGTTGCTTAGTATAGACTAAAGGTACACAAATAAATTACGTAAAGAACATTCGTTAAACGAGCCGGAAAACCGGTTTATTCACAACACTATATATTATATACGTACAAATCTATATAACAGTGATATTAGTTTTGAAATTTTCTTTTATATTCGGTATTGCTAAGGAATAAGGATGTTGGAGTAACTTTTTGTAGCACATAAATTTGCATAACCTTTTAACGTGTTTTTATTTTTTTTAATGGAAGAATTCTAATCAAATTTCAGTAAAATGCTGTGAAGAGAAATTCTTCAATTTATATAGTTGTTAATTTGTTACCCATAGCGTGTACATTAATACTGGAATTTTTAATACAAATTGTACATTGTATAACTGACAATAATTCCCGGTTAGGCTAAAAAAGTACATACGTACAAGATATATTCTATAATATTATCTATTCGTATCGTATATAATAAATAATAATTATACCTAAAGTAATAAGTTAATAAGAAGTAACAAATACAATTAATAATTTAACGTTAATAAGAACTACAAAACAACTATAAAACCAACATAGATTGTTTAATTTCAAAATAGTTATAGAACACCACAGTTCATAAAATAGAAAAAAGGTTTTTGAAACATAATTATAATATTCTATATTCTTCATAAAGTCTGATGTAAGTACCTACTCAATTTTAGATCAGCCTAAGTAAACTATTTATATAATTACCTGTTGGGTACGTTGGTTTACACAGCAAGAGAACCACTGAAACAAGACTTCGCCAGGCATGTTTCCCGATCGGTATCCCGCCGACATGGTTGTACAGGCTATTTGGAGGTAATCCCGCGGGCCGTAACAGTAGCAGTGCCGACAAAAAATTTCTGTAAAAATATATATATATATATTATAGTATTAGTAAAAACAAACACTGCACTCTTCCGTTGACCGTAAATTATTATTATTGTATGATCATAATAGGTATATATTTTAAATTATAATAATGTATTAATGTAATAGCAACAAGGTTGAACACGGAATATAATATAGACATAGGCATGTTATCGAGAACCGAATTCACATTGCAGCACAAGATGATAATATTTAACATGAATAATAATGAATGACGACATTCGTTCATGTATTATACCATATCTGTTACCGACCGGCGACCAGTGATGACCAACTCGAGACCCTCTACACATATAAATGACGAACGCGCTTTGTGATTTAATAATTATACAGGGTGAATCTGTAATCATAAACTAAAAATGTTGAGGATTTTGAGACATTTAAAATTAGTTTTATACATTTTAAGGATACAGATAATCATATAGGTATATAAAATATGTAAGATAGTATGTTCTTAAAAGGCCTACGCACTGAAGGATGGTATCGTTAGAGTTAAAACATATTCAAGATTCTTGAACTTAACTTTATAGCTAACGTTTTATTACCAATGACAATTACTACCTATACAGTGTCCCGTGAGAATATACCCATTAGTCGTAGAGGAAGAATCGCCGCCGGGCAAAACCCGATTTTTTGCCATTTTACCTTTAAACTAAAAAAATGATTAAAAATCATGAAATTAATGAAAATAAAATGTTAAAAGGTCAAAAATGTTTAGGAAAATAAACTCTACAAAATTAATACCTTCAATTGTTTTAAAAATTTAAAAATTTAAAAAATTATTAAACTAAATTAAAATATAAAATATTGCATATATTGCCCATGTCTCTAAGAATCTAATAAAAAAAAACATATCTATGATATACAGTAGATATCGTTTATAATGACACTGGTTGTAATGAAATATCGGATTTTATGACCTTAAAGAAAAGAACCCAAAAAATGCATAGGTTAATTTTATATGCTAAATTTTATCGGTGGTTATGACTATTGGCTATTATGACCTATTTTTCTTCTTCCCTTGAAAATCGTTAAAAACGATTTCTACTGTATTTATTATCGCAGGACTTCAGGAGATATAGCAATGGGTAAATCCTCGAGGGACACTCTGTATACACCAAAATATACGACACAAGTACACAAGGGTCGTCATTTAAACGTTGGAAACAAAAAAAAATATTAAATATTCCCTTTAAATGTCCTCAGTTATTAGTTGGTTACAGATAAAAGAATCACCCTGTTTATACTAATAACTAATAATAGTTATGTTATAGCGCGTGGAGAATTCAGGCGTTGACGTATGTTTTTTATGTACTTATAAGAGGCGTTACTATAAAATGTACGTCCAAATAAAACATCTGAAGAAACAGAACGGACCACATAATAATATAAAATTTTTGAATACATATACGACGACGGAGCGAACCTCCCAACAGCACACAATACCACTGCACGACGAACATCACATCATTATTATTATCATACGCACAGGTATGGCTAGGTATCTACCATATATATATAATACATACAGTGTACACCCGTACATATATGTATTAGTACCTGGTTGTTGAACCTCACGACCAGGAGCACAATGGCAGGAACTATATATTCTCGAGGAGGATAGAGTTCTTCGCCAAACGCGAGCAAGAGGCGGAGGCGGCAGCCGCATACACCGCGCGTATATATTTAGTTATATTATATTATTATTATTATATACGTACACCATATATAATAATATTACGCGCTATTCGCGACGATGATGTACATTGTACATATACATCATATACGCGCGAGGGCCAGCAGCTCTGTAACGGGACAAACTAGTCGTGTGATGGCGGCGGCGAACGAGTTACGCTAAGTCTAGGACGATATATACAATATTATTATGCGTATTATTATAATATGCTATCTCTGTGTAGCATATAGTGGGTACGTATACATTATTTTTATGATTATTATTTAAACGAGTTAGATAACAACGAGAGCCTAGCCGGAGGGGCCGATGATCGGATATTATTCCGTAGGAAACGGAATAATGTACGAGGCGCGCGTCGAACGCATAATAAACAAACATACCTATAAATGCATAATGTTATGTTATATTATACATACGACAACCGACGATTGCTATTATTATCATCGAGCGTTTTAAAATAAAAAGTGTGCGCCAGAACAAGTGAAAGTTTAATGTATAAGGTACCATACGCGTGTCTGTAGACCGGAGACGAAAAAAGGTGTTTTTTAGTCTTTCGGTCTGATTAATGACCGTTTTGTTTTGTCACCGTCGTCGTCGTATGCATAATGACGATAAACGCACCGGGTACCTACATACGAGACAATGGTATAAGACACGGCGTATATCTGAAACGAGGAACTGGTCGTCCGTTGCGGCCTTATAGCGTGGGCGCTAAACAGGAAACGCAAAGACGTAGTAAAAGCGCTTTACGGTAGATGAGTCATGCACCGCGGGACCTACAGCGGCAGTGATTCCCGCAAGCACATCAAAGTATATTATACAATCAATATTAAAGTATATTTTGAGGGCCAAAGAGAGATTTCGTACATGTATATATTTTCGGAGTACGTGCTTTTTTTGATGATATCGAAAGCGGAACGGTATGTTGAATGCTTAAGCTTCTGATTTACGTACAAGTTTAAAAAACGATGTCCTTAGTTTGGTGGACGTTTTAAGTATGCGAGATGGAACCACCTTCGAAATGTTACTTATAAAAAGAAAACGCAGAAAAAAGTTTTCGATAAAAAAAATATGCAACCTCTGGCTTACTCAGATAGTCGCCGCTTCATAAAATTCGTGTTTATACTAGACGAACAACTTTTTTCAATGCAATACAAAAAAATTGAAAATTCGAGTATAAGGCATAAATAAAAATAGGTACTTAAAATACTACTAAAATTTCATAATTTACAGGTGTATAATAATACTATATTATTGTTTTCGAGAAAGACAAGAAAAACGAGTGTGCGGTGTTGTATAATGAAAATTTACAGTACAATATTGAAAGTATAGTTTTGTTTAGTACCTACACCAATCAAAAACAATTTCCATCAACTTTTCTGTGGGAAAATATTATTAATAATATTAACTTTTATCTAATTTTAAACTATCTATATTATACAGTAAACTAGGAAAAATAATATATAGGCATGTGATATGTGTTCTATAAGACTGCCATATTTTTTAATTGATAGTAATTATTTTTTAATAAACCATTAAATAATGCATTACTTACACACATACCCTTGACATGATAAAAAATCTTGTGTTTATGGTCAAATAATTTAAACAACGTTATTATATATTACCTATGTACTTTTATATAATAGGTTTATGTTACCTATATATTATTATATATTATATTACATTCACTGTTGTTCAGCTCCTTCGAATAACAATTAGTTTCATGAACTATACTTAAAAACTACGATACATACATAATAATTAACATAGTGAAGAATGAGTAATGACAATATTTACCTATACGTGTATTCTCGATATAATGTTTAACGTGTACTTAATTGAATTCTATAAGAAGTCCGTAATATTTGTACAAATATAAGGAAAATATTAGACTTTTAAAATTTGGATGAATTGGATATAAACATAGGTGATTCAATTTGCGATTGATGACCTTATACTGTGTGTAAAATATTAAATACTACCATTACTCAGACTTCTTTTGTCTTCCGTTAAAATGAAAAGGCACATTGTACCGTACAAAAACGATAAGAAATTACAGCAATCTAACTAACGACAATAACAAAAATAATTATTCCATGATGTTTTTAAATTGTGGAGTCACCTAGTCATAGTACGCAGATTCATGTTAAAGACATTATTATATCTTGAGTATCACTTACAATTTAATGATCCTGTGTTATTCGAAACTCTAACCAACGAAAACAATCAAAACGAAATCTCAATTTACAGACGCGAATGAACTACTAATTAGAATCAGTAAAAACGCACCTATAAACGAAACGATTCAATTCAAACAATATAAATTATGGTTTTAAATTTAATGTTATTACTTGAAGAGTTTGGAGCATTTACTATAAAATGTCGAAAAAAGTAATAAAAATAAACATACCTAAATATTAAAGAAACAAAATTAGAAAAATACCAGCTTGATTATACAATAATACATAACAACTGTAACCTATCTTATATAATATGTATATATTTTTAAAGGAATAGAATTTTCATGGGAATACTATTATATGCATTCCAATCTATCATCCCGTCAGTGCATACTGTAAAGCGCACACCATTACATGACGTATTCATTGACAACATAAACATAATTAACTCTTTTGAAAGTGAAGATAATAAATCCGTTTATTCTACACTGTAAGATCAGTTATACGATGCTAATAACATAAAATAATGTAAAATAGGTATAGATGCATTTAAATTCTGAAAATAAAAAGTACTTACATTAGCTATATTATATTATATGATTAATAATATGCTATACAAATATACAATACATAAAATGCTGCAAATTAAAATATTAGTAAACAAAATCATTATCTATCTCATAAGTCATAATTATTAAACAACGTTATTCAATTATTTATAAAGATAAATAAAACCTATTAATTATTATTACGTATTATCATGTCCTATTGTTTTATCACTGAATTAGTGTACTTAATATGTAGGATGTGGTTCGATAACCACATGGCCCAGGGGAACAAAATTTCAAATCGTGAACTATTTTATTTCTAATATAATATACGTCAATACTATACTTTTCGATAAGTATATCTAATTTGGGTCGAAGGGCAAACCATTTATGACGTGTGACCTAACAGTATATAATCGTTGAGTACTCGTTTAAAACATGATGATTAGTGGATAAATCGTAAAGCATGTATACGAACAAATACAAATTGAATATCGAAGAATTAACAGACTAATTAATGGCATTAATATAATATAGGTAATTCA